TACCATCACAGTTCAGACCAAGCAACTCCATGCAGAGAACTGTCAGTATTAGTCAGAATTAATGACAACTTCTCAGCAGGACCGTGTGACTCAGACTAACTTCCCCAAGTCTTTCCGCACCGTTACATTTCAATATTGTCCCAGCACATTTATAGTAGCAGATGATTAAATACAACCTAATTTTAGGAATCAAGTTAATGAAGCAAGCACCATGCAATGTAAAGACTTGTTTCACAAAGATTTCTGAAGTCACAGTGACATTTTTCCCACTAACCCAAATGAGCAGAATACTTGCTACCTGACAGCTGTGGGTTGGGAAAAAAATCCCCATACTGAAGTAGTCTTTAATACAGAGCTAGGTTAACATAAAACATGAACAATAATTTTTACAAGCTCCATGCAGGCTGTAAAAACTGTAGAAAAAAAAAAGCAATTTATGTAACTAGTTACTAATTGTTTGTATTACCATCAAACATCCCTCTCACTGCTAATTGTCCAGCAGGCTCTCAGGTGCTCTCATCCTCCATTAAGGGTTGTATTTTGGGGTACAATTACTTTGTTTTGCACTCCCTAACACATTACGGGAAGAGAGGAACTACTCAAAATCACATTGTCTATCACTAATCAGTAACAATTCCAAACTGAAACCAGGTAGCAGTAAGTTCTAGACACTGCTTTTCATCCACTGCAACTGAAATGGCAAATTTTACACACTGCAGGACAATCACACATCAAGACCTCAAGTCCAATTTGTACGTTTTGAAAAGGAAAGCTCAGCTTGTTCAAGTGAAGTGTTAGGAATAAGAGATTTTCTTTTTCACCTTTTTACATGAAAGTAAGTTGAGTATTGCCCATTAAAAAGAACAGGTTCAAGACTGACATTTGGAAAAAAAAAAAAAGAGAGAAAATGCACAGTGAGATCTCCCACTGCTGCCATTTACTACAGTTCATCCAGGTTTCTCTACGTTTGTAAGGGGAAAGGAAAAACTTTGAACAAAATCTAACGTGTTTTTCAGCTGTTCCCATAAGGAGGCAATATCTTCTGCTGTACAAGTATTTACAAAAGCATACAACTTCAAAAAAGAAAATGTTTATTTTAGTGTCCAAATTATTAAACACTAAACAAGACAATCTTCTAGTTTATACATTAGGAATGTAAGCTTTCATGTACAGTTAAGAGAACACTTCACTAAAAAAAGGTGAAATACTGCATTACTATAACACAGAACAGTGTCACACAATGAACTGAAGAATATGAGAAAGTGTGGTACACTCATTTAAACTCAGGTTCTCAGGTCAAGACAGACATCTGTAGACTGATAGAACTATTTCACACACTTTGGTGAATATTAAGAAATGTACACATCTAATTTAGAAGTAGTATACAAATACAAAAGGCAATATATTATACACCTATAGATTGCACTGTAAGCCTTAAACACTGACAAAAGATATCAGACATAATAATTAAGTTAGAAACTTCTAGAAACCTCATAGAAATCATAAGAGACCTCCTTAGAGAGAAATGTGGCTAAAACAGCTATATATTTCTGTATCTGTCAAATCTGTCAGGCATTCAAGGCAGTTCAAGGACATTTCACTCCCTTTAGAAAAGTCACTGCAGATCTACAGCAAGTGGTTAGAGGCCATATACTTTTTTGCATAAGTGTTACAGATTCTTACAACAAAAACAATTCTCAGCTTCAACAGTTTTGAAAACATTGCTGTTCAAAGCCATTCCTGGAAACAGCGCCCTTTGATTTAAAACAGTAAGGTCAGTTATAAATTTATACAGCATCAAAACAACCTCTCAATATAATTTGTGATGATTCACTCCTACATGATATTTTCTCCGCAGGATGTTCCAGCTACGTATGGTGTTTTGAGTGTGTTCATCAGAACTGCCCACTCGTGGGTAGACTACAATATGGGACATTTTAACAGGTTTTCCTTACACTGACAGAAAACTTCTACTTCTTTAATATACATCTTTCATTTATCAGTCTAAAGCAATCAGATAATGGTCAAAAACCCATGAGCTTGAAAATTTCTGAAATATTGTTAAAGAAATAATATATCTCTGCTTCCTGCCTATCTCCCTCCCTTCCCCTCCTATCCTGCACCATGCATATTTGGACAACAAATAATTCTGTTGTGTGTGTCCCCCCCCCTCCTGTTTTTGTTTGTTGTTGTTGTTTGTTTTTTCTTTTCCGTTTTTAGGATCAGAAATAACCCAACTGGAGTTTCATTATTCAAATCAGGAAAAAAATTCTGTAGACTCCATCGGTATCAAGGTGTGATGTCAGTTCACAAAAATATGCTCATTGTAGAAGTTGTTCCAGAGACCAATTCACACATATAAATACGAAGCCACATACATATAGAAACAGTAGCCTTCAGTACCAAGAACCTTTCCTTTTATCAGTTTTTAAAAACGTCTGAAGCTTTATGTAATTTCAGTTGTACCAATGAGAGCCTGTGTTTTCGGCTAAAGCCAGACCACAGTCAGAATAATCAGCTGGACAAAATAAAAGGATTAACTAACATAACTTTAACACTGTTTGACTTGTAGCCAACAGTATTGTAAACATTATGTTACATACCTACATTTTATGGCATTTCAGATCCTTCAAAATTCTAGTTATTTATTGTTAAAAGTGACTAAACCTTCCCAGTATAATAAGAATCTTTTATACTAACACCCAGCTTGAGAAAGTGTCTGCTGTGGACCTAACTGAAAAAAAAATAATGAATTAAATGAAGCAAACCAAACTCAGTAGAATTACTTTAAAATCCTAGTCCCTTAACACTAACACACAACTTTACTGTCACAACAAACATCTGTCAATGGCAATTTTATTTATCTATTCTAGTTTTTGTTTCCATTTAAAGTGTTTCCAAAGTACTATTAAACATTACACTGCAAAAGCAGAGCAGGAGGCAGCTCTAAAGTCTGCAGGTTATTTCTTCATAACATGTAGAACAAACTTCAAAGAAAGGAAGAGCTCTCCATTCAGTATGTGTAGTGCCAGCCAATGTCTGCCATCAATTGCCCAAACCCTTTCTACTGCCTGTGGTTATGCAGCAGTAGTCCAGCAGCCACCTGTACGAAGCCAATCTGAAAAAAAATGTGCTGTTCAATGTGTATTGCAGAAAAACTGGTAAAAAAGAGGAAAAATTTTCTGCGTACAAAGTATTTACAATAACAAACACATACAGCTTCAAAGAACCAGTTTATTTCACTGGTCTAAGTATTAAACACTAAGTAAGACAATCTTGTGGCTTATGCATTAGGAATGTTAAGTCTTCATGTACACTTAAGAACTCCACTGTAAAACGGTGGAACTACTAGAATAGACCTGTCACACAACAAACTGAAGAATATAACAAGTGTGACATATTCATTTCAACTCCAGCTCTCAAGTGAAGACAAACATGTACAGGCTGATGAGCTATTCCACATACTTTGGTGAATATGAAGAAATGTACACACCTGGTCTGCAATCTAAGAATTAAAATTATACAGCTTACTTGTCTCTATCAACTATGTCTCCTAATTTCTTTTTATTAACCATCTTATTAATTACTATAAACCTGAACATTAGCTGCTAAAAACTTGTGCTTCAGTCTAAGTCAAAACAGGGTTATCTCAACTTATCTCCAGGCTAATAGGAAAGTCTTCCAAAATTTTAGTGTTTGTTCTGTTACCAGGTTCTTGACAATAAGAAATCACTAACTGTAGGAATCTGGACAGCTGGGAATAACTATGCCTTCCATCTTCATCCTGTTTCTCCACTCATAATAATATATTGTCCGTTCATCAGCTAAACACTGTTACTGGAGTGGTTTTGTCAGCTATTGCTTCTCCAAATTTCTGCATAAGCAGTTTTAATGTCCATTTTTAATTAAAATTAAAAGTTAGTATCAAAAAAGGTCACCAAACCAATGAAAGGTTAAAGGTTAGGTAACCTTGAACAAGCTGCTGTTTTAGCATTTTAAACTAGAAAAATCCGAGATACAAAAACCTAGCAATGGCAGTGCTAGCTATATGTACACTGTAATTTCCCCCTTTGTGCTTGCAAGTTATTGAAAGTACACATCCTTTGGTAGTATTCTCTTAGTCTCAAGTAAGTAGTTTATGTTAAACATATTCACATTCCTGATTTGCTTGGTTCAGTGCAAAGGGCTCATATCTTATTTCCTGCATAATACTGTTACATAAGCACATCTCTTCCCTCAAAATAATAAAAATACTGATGACAGCGACATTTCAATTAGTAGCTTTGTGCCTGGTATTTGAGAATCTGAAAGAAAGGCAGTCTGTTACACAACTTGTAAGTTTGAAATGTGCCTATTATAGCAACTGATGGGAATTTCCATCCACACGTACTGCTGCTGTATGACTTTTGACCCAGTTTCAAAGACATATGCAAAAGCCAAAAACGCATCTATAATTCAGACTCGTACAGCATAAAGAACAGTGCAACGTGTACTAACTCCCATTACAAAAAATACCATAACATCAAATGCTGAACTGATGCTTTTAGTTTTAACCTTATATGTAAGCACAGCTTTCTCATGGCTAACAAGAGAACATTTGTTCTTACAATTCTGTTCAAAATTTCACATCCACACTGTGAGACTCCTCTTAAATAAAAGAAGTACTTGCACTTTTGCCTGTGCAAGTGGTAGTGAAAAGCGGAATCTGGGAAAGAGGCTCTGTTTGTTCCCGTCCCGTGCATTTGAAAAAAGCTGTGCATCTTGGTCAGAGGCTAAACAACCAATCGATGCTTGTTAAATTGGTGAAGCTGTGAACTCCACATGAAGCCACTGAGCAATCAGGAGTATAAATACTGTAAGTCACAAAGGAAACTTCCAAGTGATAAGAAGCCGATGCAAAATAACTAGAACTGTTGTCTGTTCACGAGTACTGTCAAATGTGAGCCAAATAACAATTAACTGGCTTAAGATTTAAGAAAGTATTGTATAGCACATTAAGGAGCTTAATGTACTCATGTACCGGTATGAGGATAAACCCTCAATATTGTGTTTTTCATACTTGTCAATTTTATTATATCAATCTGTTGACAAAGTTATGCTAATACTAGGAGGTTGCTGCTGATTAGGTTGTTTGCTTAAAACTGGAAGATCTGTTCTTTCTGTTCCATACATCAGTTTTTCCTCCTGAAGACTGCAAGCTGAAAACCTGTTTGCTTCTGTACCAGATACACCACCACGATTATTTGCAACTGTGACACCACTGACCTGTTCAAAGGATTTACTAAACACAGTAGTGGTCGTTCTGGCCAGACTATGGCTGCCAGGTTTAGGCAGGGACTGACTAGTCGTCAGTGTCAATCTCTTCAAAGAGACAAGCTCTAGATTCTCACTCATGGCTCTCTGAGTTTGTTTTCGTGACAAGTGTTCTCTGCAGGTTTCTCCTTCTTTTTCTTTTCCTCCAGCTTTGCTTCCTCCAGACCTTCGCTGGCTCTTCCCTAAAACGTTCTTATTGCTCGTGTTACTGCTGGTAGATAGGGCAGACTGACTTGTACTAGAAGTAGCCCTAGAGTAAAACCCTTCATCAGTTTCAGATACTTCTATCAGATCTTCTTCATTTGCTACATCCGTGTTACCTGTATGGTAGAAAAAGAAAGAAAGAATTAGCAATTGACTTTCTCACATTTATCAATTCTATGTATTGCTAGATTTTTATAATTACAAGCATGAAGCCATAAAGCAACAGAATAGAAGACAAACAACTTACCCAATTCATTACATTTTGGAATTAAAGTGTATTAGGATATAAAGTTACACCAAACTGCTGCATTAACTAGATCAAGAAGCATGCCCACAATTTAATTTTGCCATGATTTGGAAAGAAAATAATGCAGTCTTGTTAATTCATGCAGGAGTTTAGAAACTTGTAGATTAGAATATACCACACAGAGCAAAACAATGTACAACTTTGTTTTGAGCAGGTGTTTCAATACATGATTTTGCAAAGCTCATTAATTATAAGACTATAGAATCATTGCCCCAGGACACCAAATACGGCACCTGCATGTTTACCAACCCAAGAATGCTTCAGGAATGAAAGGTCACCTTCTGCATCACAGGTCTGGTGGTATGAATTGGAAACTCAAGCACAACATGAGATCTCCAGTATACCATGAAAGGCGGAATTTGGGAAATCTGACGTACACAGTGAGATACTTTTCACATCTATTTTGATGTACTCTTAATGCCAGTGATAACTGGCATTTGTAAATCCAATAAATATGCTTAAATAAACTCCAAGGTAGGTTGAGTCTCACAGTGTATTTTCTCCAGATTAAATAAATGTACTTGTAAGCAATGTCACCAGTGTCGCCATTCTGTGGCACCGACGAAGCTGTGTGCAACACATGCATTTGTGTTATTGCACATGCAAATATATTAACTGCATACTTTAGTTCTCCAAACATGCAGCAGTGATCCTTTCAATCAACAGTGGTACCTTAGAGTGCAGCTAGAAATGTTCTGCTAAAACTGCACTCTGCCAGATGAGTTTATTCCATCCTCCATCATTTTTCTTACAGATTTTTGCCTCCTGATTTCTGGCATGCCTTTGCTGTCAGTTCTAGGATCTGTAGCTGTTTCCTGTACTCCCTGTAAATGCTGAACATCATTCTCTGCTAGTGCTCTGCTCTTTTCCCCATTCCCGGTCCTCTCTCCAGCCACACTTGTGACACTAATCTCAGGTATGATAAAGTTGCCCAATTCAGTAGCATCATTACCATTCTCTGGTTGTTCTAGAATTAAAGATGGATAAGAAAAAAAAATATGTCTGAAACAAAACATGAAACAAAAGCAACAGATACAGATGACTAAAGCATTATGAATTAAAGCAAATGTTCACATATGAACCTCTTGTTAATAAGCAACATTAGCAAGTATGAAGTTTTGCTTTATTTTTAAATTGCAGGCTTCAATCTTCCAATTATTGGCCTGCACCCACATGCTGGAAAGCCCCATGCTTAATCCTTCAAACTGAAATTTCTGAGGATTGTGAAACAACCATTAAGAGATTATATTAGAAATCAACTCTTCAACATTCACTTTCATTACTGTATTCTCTGTATTACCATGCTAAAGTGAAACATTTTGATGATGAAATGGCATATCAAGTTCAAGTGTTATCATGTAAGACTAGAAACTCTACACAAACAATGTCATGATGCTGCACAGTAGTCAGCCTGGAAATAAATACTGAAACAGCCAAGAAAATTCAAACATTTAGACTTCAATTTTCTTTCTTAATTTCAAAAAACTATTTTCAACTATAAAGTTATTTACAAGTAAGAAAATTCTCCAGTTATTCAACTCATTAAGACAAAACGTATAGAGCTTTACTGCAGTTTTTGCCACCTACTAATAACATATATCGATCTCCTCAGCCTTTCTAAGCTTCTTATATCAGCTTACAGCCCAACTAGTTTGTGATGAACTTACTCCTGTCAAGTAAGTTACTAAGTACAGTTGAAAAAACTGAGGTTAAGCTGGGGGGAGGGAAAGCACCACAGCATTCTGCAGCACTAGGGGAAAAAAAAAAAAAAATCAAGGCAAAAAGCAATGCAGTTTGGTTCTTAGATGACTTCTTTTTGTCTCAGTAAGTCATCAACAGCCGATAGACAAGTGCTCAGCCTGGCCAAAAAGTATTTCAAGACAAAGACTCCTGTAGACATAGCCAAAAGTTCCCAAGCAAACAGAAAACTCCACAGCTTCTCAAAATGTGAGAATGATGGCTGTGTGTAAGCACAAGAGATTCAATAATGATACTTCTTGAAAAGAATGCTGGTAAAACAAATCCCAACTCAAAAGATGCCTGTCTGCATTAGATAACAGGTTTGAGAAGGATGAACTTGAGAGGAAAAAAGTGAAAATGAGAGTTGAAACTTTATGGAAATTCCAAGTATATGCAAGTTACAATCCTAGCAACTTGTCAGCTCCACAGTTTGAAGTATCCTCAGTGTCTGAAGGTCTTTTAAAAAGTATTCAGAATTGCTTCATCAGCACTAGCTCGACAACCACAAAACTGCATTTAGGTGACCTGGAGAAGCAAAAAAGCCATCCAATTTAACACCACTAAATAATTTCTTGATAAGTGGTAGCTAGTATCAACTGACTATAAATACTGTATGTGATTAGATGGATCTATTTTGCAAATGACCTTCACCTTCAGTATCTCTAAAGTACCTACCTTAGAAGTTGAAATCCACAATACCAATTTGATTCTTAAAAAGTTCTTCTAAGTAACAGCTCTAATGAATGAGTTACAGGGTTATGTATCACAGTAAGATTAAACATTACATTGACCCATTTTTCAAAACTGACTTCCACTCTAGAGTTCTAGCAAAACCTGGCAAGATTTAACGTCCAAAAACTTCTATATTAAACCGAACTTTTAAAAAGATAAAAAAATAAAGCCCATACTTCTCAGTTGGAACCATGATTTGCTATATTTTTATTTAATGATTGAAAGTTGCTGCCCTTGCTTCACCAAGGGATATTTTGCTTCATCATGTCTTCTGGTCCACATAATGGTATTAGATCAAACTAGCTCTCAGCTGTCTCTTCTACTTGTACAACTCATTTTTATTACATTGCAACACACAAATAAAACCACCAAATATTTTTCCCCCCTTACACCATGGGAGAAAGAGTAATGGTCAGGAGGTATGTGGTTTGTTATCTGATTTCTATCAATTACAGTAGTTATTATAATTCAAACAAGCATCTGTATGCACAGCCTCATTATTCTTTCTGTATGATGATCTATACCGTATCTTCCTTTCATCAGGAATTGTGGGGCACTGAGTTACGTTATTAGGAATTTTGAAATCAGGAGGCAATCCACTCTGACTTTAAAAAGGCTTTTCAAGTCACAAATACCAGAAATTTTTTTTGGATATTAGCTGAAGTGGCATATAGAACCATCAACTGATTTGGGTTGGAAGGGACCTTAAAGGTCATCTAGTTCCAACCCACCTGCCACGGGCAGGGACACCTGCCACTAGACCAAGTTGATCAAAGCCCCATCCAGTCTGGTTGTGAACACTTGAGGGGTGGGGCTTCCACAACTTCCCTGGGCAACCTGTTCCAATGTCTCACCACTGTCACAATAAGTAATTTCTTCTTAGTACCTAACCTAAATCTACCCTCTTCCAGTTTGAAGCCATTACCCTTCATCCTATCAGTACCTGTGTCCTTGAAAAAGTGTCTCCCCACCTTTCCTGGAAGCCCCCTTTGGATAGGCTGCTATAAGGTCTCCCCGGAGCTTTATCTCCTCCAGGATGAAAAATCAATCCCTCTCTCTCAGCCTGTCTCCATAGGAGAGATGCTCCAGCCCTCTGATCATCTTTGTGGTGCTCTCTGGACCCGAAAGGACATCATAAAGACATAGGCACTGGTCTCTTCTCACAAGTGATAGAACCAGAGGGAGTGGTCCCAAGCTGCACCAAGGGAGGTTCAGACTAGACATTAGGAAGAATGTTTTCACTGAAAGGGTTGTCAGACACTGGAACACGCTGCACAGGAATGTGGTTGAGTCACCATCCTTGATGTGTTTAAAAATCATCTAGATGTGGCACTTGAGGATATGGCTTAGTAGAATAGGGTTAATGGTTGGACTTGATGATCTTAAAGCTCTGGTCCAAGCTAAGTGATTCTATCATTCTATCATTCTATGACAATAGCTGACAAAATTGCCAAGCTTCAGAGGGCATTTGTCCATTTAAAAGCTGAGCTACCATACAGTTTTCTTGCACCTCGTAAATCATCTCAGCTTAACAACTGTAAGCCTAAAGAAAGGAAAATAAATAATAAAGACTAAAATGGTCCATAACAGTCTTGAGATTTCAGTAATGACTAACTTCAGTGAGGTCCAGCAGCAAAAGACACCAATGTTTTGCTTCTCACCTTTGTCTCACACTTTTGAGCAGTTTTAAATGAACTGAAAATAAATTTGGTTATTTTACCTTTCTTTGCCCCTCACCCTCTCTGGAAGCTTACCACTGGTACTAATACCACCAATGAGTACTCTATCATAATTTTAAAGTAATCTTCTACCAACAAGTTTTTAAATAATTTTCTCAACACTGACCTGAATTACCTCTCAGTCCTTTACAAGTAACTTGACAGTATTTTTCAAACCAAACTGTTCACATACTACAAAAGCTAATACAGTACACATCATATAGAAATTTTTATAATGCTACTTTAAAATCTTTATTGAATCTATTAAGAGTATTCTTATCTACACTCACTCACTCAGCCTGTCATCAGAATTACAAGGCCAGCAGAACAAGCCTTTGCAAATTTTGATTGCTGGTCCAGCAGCTCTTCACTCATCTGAAGACAGTAGAAGAAGTAGAATATTATGTTTCTCATTTTGCAATGCATTCAGCACCATTTTTTTTTCTACTCTTCAGCCCACACCCATTTTCTATTTTGTGAAAGCTCTTACACTACTATGCCCAAATGTACTGATTTTAGCTGGGATAGAGTTAATTTTCTTCACAGTAGCTAGCATGGAGCTGCATTTTGTATTTGTGCTGAAAGCAGTGTAGTTCATACAGAGCTGTTTCCGTTATTGTTGAGCAGTTAGTTCACAGCATCAAGGACTTTTCTGCCTGTCACACCATCCCATCAGTGAGGAGGCTGACGGTGCACAAGAAAATGGGAGAGGACATAGCTGGAACAGCTGACCTCAACTGACATAAGGGATATTTCATATCACACAACATCATGCTCAGCAAAAAAAGCTGAAAGAAAAAAAGGGGGAAGTATTAAAGAGTGATGGCATTTTTCTTCCCAAGTAACTGTTACGCATGATGGAGTCCTGCTGTCCTGGAGATGGCTGAACCCCTGCCTGCCAAGGGGAAGTGAAAGAATTCCTTATTTTGCTTTGCTTGTGTGCACAGCTTTTGCTTTTCCTATTATACTGTCTTTATCGACCCAGGAATTTTCTCACTTGTACTCCTCTGATTCCGTCCCTATGCCACTGGGGGGATGCGAGCAAGTGGCTGCCTGGTGCTTAGTGGCTGGCTGGGGTTAAACCATGACACCAACACATAATTTATCCCTCTACCCTTGTATATTATTTTTATTTAAGTAATTTCAGACAGATGAGGGTGTGCAGTAAAGAACCTCATTACTTTTCAGAAGAAAACAGGAACATGGGCCTTTTTAAAAATCGATAACTTTGATACAGCTCCCTTTAAAAAAAGGGTTTTCTGGGTTTTCTTTTCGAAACATGGTTAAGAAAATAAAGAACATACTTCATCATAAAGATCATACATTACACTTCATGCAACATGAATTGCATTAACATTCCCATTCACCAGTTAAGAAAATAAACTCCAAACTGCTGCTTGCTTACTACCAATGAAGATGTGCAATAACAAAATTCTCAATATTATTTTAAACATATAAAAATATAATAATGCATTGCAAAATCTGTTTCTTACCATGCCTTTTCCACCTGTGCCCTCGGATAGACATGCTAGTCACAGCATTTCTTGATATCCTGGATGAAGTAGGTGTAATTTCAACCTGAATGCATCTTGTACCTTCTTTACTAGATTTCATGGTGCCCTGAGGCAGTGAAGCTTTTATTGCATTAGCAACCTAGAAACAAAAGATACAGTTAAGTACTTAACATGAAGAATCCAAATTTTAGAATTCTGTCAAAGGACTCTTATTACTTCAAGTAGAATACTGTGTACAATTCCAGTTTGCTATCAAAAAAGCACAGCATTTTGCACGGGTTATAAACAACCCTAGTAGCAATTACCACCCAGAACTAAGTTACATTTAACACCTGCCACTTTTAAATAAAAAGTTTCCAGTTTAAAGACGTGGCTATTAGTTAACACAAATTTCAGAGCACTTCTGCACTATCATCTAAGTTTCAAGACTTACAAGCGTTCTTCTGAAAACAGCTTGTTCACTAGGGAAGATGACAATATAACTAAGTACATTGAAAATACCTGTGCATGAGAGTGTATGCTTGCAGACCTAGCTATTTACACAAGCACAGCCGCAGAGACCTCATGGAATTAAGTTTCCCAGTGTGCTGACACATCATGTACATTCACAGGAAGGATTTCCTTGACTAAAAATTTTACTAAAAAAAATGTTGAAAAACAACACCTACCAGCAGAGGTTCTGGATACAGTTCCAGCTGTGCTCTATATAAAATGTCATCCATAGCTTTACGAGCCAGATCCCATTCTCCATTATAACTACAAAGGTAGATACATATATAATTAAGAAGCATTGATATTAACAGATTAACTTACTTGGTCACATAACTTTCATATATTTATTATTCCTTGAGAGCTCAGTTTAGAGGAGTTGCACTACTTTTCATTACTAGTAAGCCTGCTGTTTAGAGTACTTCTCTCCATAGACGCTACTTCAGAATAAAGTTTTATTTTCATTGGCCGTCTTAGTGAGTTTAAAACCAACATAGTTATTGATAAGATAGTCATGAAATATTCTGAAATTCAGAGAGGATTGTTCTAATACTACTCCACATTTTGAGCATTCCTGTGTTACTAATCTCTAATTATTTCAGTTAATAAGAGAGTTTCACACATTAACATAACTACAAAAGGGTAAATGACATCAGCATTAAGCTGAAATTTCATTATTTTGTAGGCATATTAAAAAAACGACTTACAAGGCATAATAAATCCCTGTTAGCATTTGCACCATGAATTCAGATGAAACTGGAATCCTACTGTTGACTCCATTGTACTTTCTCACTTTTTGGCGAGGATATCCACAGACACAAATTCTAAAGAAATCATGCATTGGTCGTTAGCAATTAATGTAGAACCTCCTTTGTACAGATGTCAACAAAGCTAGGTGTTTAGTATATGTATTAACTACCAAAGACCCACAGGAAGGTATCCATCAACAACTCGCTGAAACTGTTTCTTGCTATAGAGGAAGGGTATGCCCTCTACTGGCAGAGTTCAAATCTTTCAAAACAGAGACATCTTGGGACACTTGCTAGATTTATACTACAGTGGAACATGGAAGAAAATTGCCATTAAAAGTAATTCTGAATCCATGCATTTGCTGTGGAACAGAAAAGTAAGTTAATGGTATTTATGGAAATAAAGCAGTGTAGCAACTATTATTATTATTACAGACAGAAGCATAAGTGTCACTGCATATAATACGGAAGTTGCATACAAGCTTTCAAGCAAAGTGACCAAAAGTGTCCCATTCATTACAATATTCTAAAATCCAGTAAAAGTCATCCTTAGAATTTAGTTCTGAACTAAATTCCACATTACATTGAGTCAAAACATTTTTTAAATCAAATATACCAGGTAGTCAAATATTCAATTCATTGGTTTTTACCGGACTTCTGGAATGATCTTTAATGACACTAATCAAACTATTTCCTATGTAGGATAGACTAGGGGATTAATCTCGGAGAACTTCAGCTCTTCAGCTTCAATAGCAGAGAACTTGTAAAACTCCTCTTAAATCTGTTTTTCCCAGAAAAAAATAAAATCTGAACAAAACTATACAACACAAAAAACTTGAGATGGTATTGTAGTAGCTTTCAAATTATATCTAAAATAGATATTTCAGTAGCCTTTCTTTATTAATACTTACTTTGCCACTAATGTACTGTTCTTTTTTCCCCTCCTTCCCTATCCCAACTCATCTTCTGCTATTTAAAAGCCAAACATACAAAACAAACAAAAAAAACCAAGACCTCACAAAAAAACCAAAAGCAAAACCAAGACACCTTAAGATCTCTATGCCTCAGCAACTATCCCAGTATGTTTGAACCAAATGAGTTAATGCTATTTAATTTTGTCCATACATGGTAGAAGTTGAAACATGAAAGCTGATTCTTACCTAGTCCTAAACCACATGAGCCAGTTACTGAAATTAACTAGTTTGAACAAAAATCCCATCCCATTTTCCTCCTCTTTATCCCTCAGAAGAGGCCATTATGGGGCAACTCGGGCAACACTACTTCCAGATAGTCATAATTTCTACCAATGGTTTGGCTCAAGGATGACATCATCCACTAAAATAATCAGCATTACAGTGTTATGTAAAGCCTGAGGGGTTGAGGTAGGAGCAAGTGTCCAGTTAAACCAAAAATGCTAGTTTACGTCAAATTAGCATTTTTGTGCATTTACAAAATGCTACTGTACAGGGATACCAGAAGTATTTTTGTAAGAAAACAGTGAATTCACAGTAGGGATGTGATCAGTTAACACTGATAGTTATGCAGAAAAGACCTTAATACACACAGTCAATTAATGCCAGAATTGGTTTCGGAAAGCCATACTATAATTGAGATAGTTCCTCTAAAAAGGCTAGAATGACACCAGCAATTTTTGAGATCTCCACCCAAATTTATGCAATAGATATTTAAAAAGCAAATAATTCAGCTGTAAACACTTATGAAAAAAAGTCAAGCTAGAAGTAGCTTTTGGGAACATGAAGCTTTTTTTAAGACGAAAGTTGAAACTGATTGGATTTCAAGTTGAAAATTACATTTTAAGTGTACTCAACCTACAGAAATTACCTTGAACAAATCTGACACAATGACTGAAGAGAAACTGCAGGCATGTAGCTTAAGGCAGCATTGTAACAGAGTAGAAGGAAAGTCAGCACTTCAAACCTGGGATTTACAAGAAACATTAGTTATATAATGAATTTCATTTTTAAAAGAAAACAAGTTTACCCAGAATTTGCACGAGTTATTTGAACAGATTTCGTATTTCTTTTCAATAAAATTGACAATAGTTTAGTTCTGAAAGTTTTTCCTCTTCATATAGTAATATGTGCTGCAAGTTTTTCTGCATCTGTATTTTTACATGCTCAAAAACAAACAAAAACACACCACAAATCACACTATATACCTATCACTTTCAGTCTGTAACTATATTAAAAATTATAAGAAGTTAAGATTATAGTAGGATTTTGCTTAAGAATCACTACAATTTCACCTGTTCTGTGCTGTTAACATCTCCCTCTGAGGATGAGGTCCACTGTATACAACCCTGGACAAACCATGCTGTGATAAAGCTCCTTCAGTGAGAGCCATTGAACCAATACTGGAAGGCTAAAGGAAAAAGGTTAATTCAGAAGATGTCCACCTGAAGTCTTGCTACAATGCAAGCAAAAACAGACAATGATAAGCACCACCATTTTGTACATAAATTTTAAACAGGCTTCAGGTTATCTGACTGCTTAGCTGTCTTAGAGATCTAAGAAGTTATTCTACACCAGATGAGGTATATGGCTTCAGATTAAGAGAAAAACACCAAGTTGGTGCACAGATATCATGAAGATATGGCTATTCAGTCTTGAAGAGGCCTCAAAGACCAGATAAGAGTACTCAGAAGAAACACATTCCTTTGTCATCACGTGATGCGTTAAAACTACTCTTCACTTTTACTCTTAACAAACAGGCCCCCAAAGCATACCACCTTTTTCTACCAGTAATAACTTTATGTTGTGGATGTTACTTACTTCATGATAGACTGAAGGTTTGGACAAAGATGGAATTGTGAAACTCAGCACTTTGCTATGTCCCTCTTTGTCAACTATCTCCTGAAAAAGACAGAAGATTCCAATGGTTACATTGTACTGTGAAAACCAGACATTCAAAGATGCACCATCTCAATTTAGTTACAAATCTTCTACATCAACATAGTGAAAGAAGTCAGCATCAGTAACATGGCTTTACTTCAGCATAAGCATTAGGTCTTAAAGCAGAAGGAGAGGGGAATGTTTCTGAAAATCAGGTTAATCTAGAGCTTCCTACAGAAGCTTGCTATAAAATTCTTATGACCCCAAGCAGCTGGCGATAGATGGTTATGTCATTAATTGAGGAAGAAACTATTCGTATCTAAGACGTTACTGGAGTAGCTTAAAGCTTAACTATAAACGCAATCCCTTCTAGAAGAAAGGCAAGTGATTATAGCCACATCCATCAACCATTTTATATTACTTCATCATGGAAATAAATCGGTGAGTTGACTTAAGGCGCAAGATCTATCAAATGCTTTCCCGGAATGTTTTTCTTAAGAGACGACTAAGCACACAAAGCACATGAAGCCTGTACTCTGCCTAAAAAAGGGTTGAATATAAGGGCTCAAGTCTTTTTAAGCAGACCGTTGGGTGAAAAAAAAATAAAAAAAATTCATTTGCTTGGTGAAGGCATTTGTGATTTTTAGAAGGAAAATGGTAGCTGCTTTCTCCAGATTTTCAGAATGGGAAGAGAAGACCTGAAGTTAATCACTTTCATTTCTTAAAAAGCCTTCCTAAAACATCCAGAATGTACAGACTACAGTGAAGAGAATCCCAGTGCACATCACAACACTGAACTTTTTATAATAGCCATAAAAGAACTAAATGCATAACTACAATATGGTGCTCTTAAAGGTTCCTTCCTAATTCTGTTCTTCAAAGCAGTAATTTAATAGCAAACAGTATCTTTTAATACAAAAGATAAAAAATATGTCAAAGTTATTACAAAATGAAACATTTAATTTCTCAAATCAAAGCAATCTTTCAGCAGTCCAGTATTAAGAAATCAGTGTGATTTTTTGTATTTTCTACTCAAGATAGTCAAAACATGCTAGAAAATACAGACAACTGCTTCAAAAGTAGCACCTATAAAGCCTCTCAAGCAGAATACAAGCTTAATCACCACACCAAGAATTAAGCAACAAAAAAAATTACTAGGACTCCTTTGGCTCCTTCAGCCATTAGTGCACTCACACTTTCCAGGAACCATATAAAAAGCAGAGAAAGCATTAACCAAAATAAGATAATTAAAGTTCATGCTACAGATTTTTGACAAGGAGACACCAATTTGAAGAATCAAATCTTGAGACACAAAATCACATCATTTAAATTCTGAAACAAAATTGTTAATTATTCCCCAATCAAACATTCTACAATATTCCACAACAGCCCAGCAATAAATTTAGGCACAAATAATTACTTGTGAATACAAACCAAGTTATAAATTCCTAGGAGAAGAGCCTCTATGCATCCACTGCTGTGCAAATCTCTGCTGGCTGAGACAGCAAGATAGCACCACATCAATTCCGGGAGAAACTGCAGTGTAAATCGTAACAATTGTTCCTCACCACTGCGATAGAACTCAAAGAGCTGATGGCAAACTGGCTCCAGAAGCTGAAACACAAATTACAACTGTGAATGAGAAAAACATTACAAGAAACTGCAACGTTCATTGGTATCAGTAGCCAGTCATAGAAAACAGGTTTAAAAACATGTAAAAATGGGAGAAGGGAGAGCGGCAACAAAAAGATCTTCTCGGGAGCCAGTTCTGTGAGTGCAGCACAAAACCTTAGTACGGCATGAGTGACTTTTTTTTTTTTTTTCCCCAAAGTAAAGTAATATATTGCTTTCTCTAAACTCACTAGGATCATCTTGAACATATGTTGCTTAAAAGCCATGAGGAAAAACTTTTATGAAGCTGTATTGGCTTGTAAGAGCTTTTTTCCTGTGGAAACTGTACCAGCAGCTTGTGAAGACAGGATTCCAGACCTACAGCTGTTTGTTTTTTGCAGCTGCAGAAAAACTCAAACACTGCATTACTGATTGGCCCATTTTTAAAGTTGATGCTTATCAATCTTGCTCTATACCAAACATTCTTCCAAAGTGTAGCTCAATCCTTTGGACAAAACTGTAAACTGATAAATGTTATGTCTTAGCTATTAGGGAGTGACTGATGAAATAACTGCCCAAGTCACCTTATACACTTTTAAACCCTTAAAACATACTTTCAGATTATATAAATTGAGCCTTCCATCCCATGTGAAGAAAGAATGCCAGTGGCTCTTCTCCCTCATTTTTCGCTCACTTCATCCAGCCTCAAAGGCATAAATAGAGAATACTTGTTATCAACACACCTCATACCAAGACCTCAGTATCTCTAATATACAGGAAGAGTAAGTGAAAAAAGGCCTTGCTATCCTAGAGCTCCAGCAGTGTACACACAAAGTGCTCCAAGCTTTTACCCACCAACTGAGAAGAGTTGCATAGTACTCAAAGTATTACAATAACTTAGTATACAGCAAAATTAGTTCGCTTTTGCACTCTCATGAAAGTCTTCTATGAATTCAAATGTACTTGTAGACTTGAGACAGAAGCCTCGAGTAATTTTATCATCAAATTTGTTAATTTGATATAAACAGAAGAAATACTTTGAACTGGAAGTAATACATTGAGCTAAAACAAGTTAAAGAAAGATTTAAAAACAATTAAGCAGTCAGGTTGTACTGTGTTTCTGGATTTAATACTCTTTTTTGTGCTACCACCTATCTGTGCTAGAGGACAAAACATAGTATGAACCATCATACCTCAGTTTATGGAAGTTACATTTTTATTCTGTCACCTAGATAGGAGATTTCCTAAAGCAAGTGGAAAATAATTTCAAAACCAGTAGGCACTTTCAAAGCCAGCTGAACCAGACACTGAACTCAAAGCACATACTAAAAAATACTTCTTGGCAGCAAACACGGCAAACCACCGCTAAGAGTTTGGAACTCTAAAAGGACTTGCTCCACACACACACAAAAAAAAGTGGGGTAGGGGAAAAGGGAATCTTAAATTATATCTTCTAAATAATTTATTTCCAAGTAATAACACATAAGAGGAAACTATCATCTAAGAAACTACTCCCTGAAAAATAACCTAGGCAGTTGATGCATTTATATAAGTCAACTTTACAAAATTAAATCTGAGATTCCAGCCAGTGGGATTCATTTTATCAACTCCAGCTAGCATGTAAAAAAGCATTACATAAAATGTGACATTCTCCAACTGCAAATCTCTGAAAGACAGAATTCAAATGTAACATACCTAAAGACTTGTTTTACTACCTTGTTTCTTATTATCTTAACAGTTCAACTACATGACTTACAGAAATAAACTCTAAATTACAAACTAGGAAATGTTCAGACTGGTAATAGACCTTCACTGAAATGTATTCCTGCACAAAATACCCAAAAGTTTCAACCTGAAAATGATGGAATACAAACCAGACATGCATTTTAGAAATTGCATTGAGAAAATATACCATAATCATTGGAATTGCCACTGAACTTCATGATGAAAAAGCAAAGTATTACTCAACACCTTTCTGAAAATCCTTAAAAACTGGAACATGGATATGTACTTTACTGCTAGTAGCATGCAGACCATGTTTTGCTTTCTATTCTAACTAGAACACTTTGTTCTTCTGCTATTTGTCTAGGTCACTTTTTCAGTTTTTTAATGAAGCAAGCTTTGAAAGAGGTAAGAAACCCATTCTTCCGTATTCTCCTCCCTTTACTGCAGCAAAGGAGGCACCATCACCAGAAGACCATGCTAGAAAAAAAATCTGCTTTCTTGCCTAAGTTTTTACTCCTGACTACAAAGAAAGTTGAGTCAACACTTCTTACCTTCCAAAGTTACATCTGAACTCAAAGGGTCTTGGCAGGTTTGGGTTCTTTTTAACAAGTTATTTGGGACAATCTGATCCATTAAAAAAGAGAGGAGTATCTAGTTTCTGACAGATATATATTTTGTTTTTAAAAATCATAGTGAAAAATCTACAAAGGCAAAAAAAATAATGCCAAGCGCAAGAGCAGAATATCAAAGATCCTTCTAGAAACCTTTACCAGCACAAGTGCTTTCCATTTTCAGCTTACATATTTCACACAGTTTGCACACTTCCTTTAATGATGTATCTATTAGTTCAGAATAATGAGCTTGAACTTTAAAAGGCACATAAATAGCTATGACAGGTATCCATGTTAACATCGTTATCTCAGTTGAGATATCAGCACATTTAAATGCATCATCAGTACAAAAACAGATTTTCTTCCTCAAAATGTCATCACATGCTACAGCCTAATAACAAAACACACTAATGATTGCTGCTGTTTCAATATATTGTTTTACACTGAAACAGTTCTAAAAGGTATCTAGACTGAAACAATTTTTAATGCTGGAACAGACGAATGTCTAAGTAATTTCATCCCTCTTCGTTTTAAGCTGCATACAAATGTGTTAGATGCTCCAAACACTTTCTACTTCCTAATGCAAATGCCTGCATGGCTGCCATCTAAAAGGACAACAATGTTTTAGGTAGGAAGTGAAAAATCTTGACTTTGTGAAAAATCGACCTCAAAATTTTTTTTTTTACTGTTGGACTCTTGAGTCAATTAAAAGTCCTTTAAATCTTCCCATTTACTGAAGACTCACTCTCCTTGTATTGAATTACATTTTTCACCTATCAGTAGCCCAGGAACCTCAAAAGTAACTGACAAAGTCTCCATCCATTAACAAGGCTGCTATGAATTGGATATTTCTTTGCTATAGCATACAAGTAGTTAATTTATCTTACAAAATGATTATTAAATTTTTGGAAAAGTAAACCAAGAAAAACTTATGAGAAGCAAACATGAATCAGATGGAAAATGTAGTCACAGATGCAAATACACATGGTTACTATCCAAATGCTAAAAAAAAGAACACGTCTATCCCCCCAAATGAGATTTAAGCACAACTTTAAGGTACAGATAATTGTTATATTAGCAGTATATGGATCCAAAGGTATACAGATAGGGTTGTTTGTTTTTAATCTCAGCAGTAATTGTAATGTTCATGCATTAATCCTTTCCCTTTGCATTATATACATAAGAAAAGCCAGCACATAACCTGCAGTGTAAAGCAAGTTGACACTACACAATGCAGCTAATATATTTCAAATAACAGTTGAAAGAAATTATTTGTCTTTTTAACTGCTAGTCTTTAAGTATTTTCAGATTGTGGAAAGCTCCAAGTAACCCTTTCCACAGTGACAAGTACTCCAAGCACAGTTCAAAGGAAGATCTTAGGATTGTTCTCCCAAGGCAGCACAGCACTCAATGTCAGCACAGGCTTTTCATTTTAACTCAAAGCCTCATTAAGAGGGAAACCTTTGACATCTTGCCCCCAGAGTTACCCAACAACTTTGTCATGCAGGATTTGCAGGGCCTTGACCACCATGCTACTAAGGTCCCTGAGAAACCTAGTGATAGAAATCAAAGAACATATTAAAAATATTAATTTGGCCATCAAGAGGGAGACTCATCAAATTAATTTACACTTTAATATGCATTCTGAAGATGAGACAGGCTTGACTCAGTAGCTAGAATGACTCAGAATGCCCTTCTGAGCTGCAAAGTACTTTTCTTCTTTGCTAGACAACCTGGAGTTGCTCTACCAGCATTGTCTCTAAAATGTACACACTGAAAGCATTTTATCCTCTGGCCATTATTGATACTATCTCAAACTTCGGAAAGGTTCCTTATGCCAAGTCTTGTCAGAAGAATTAAGGACTTGGTGCAGATGGCAGAAAATGAGACTACACACTTAACAGGACACAACTAAAACCAGTTCAGTCTGTTTTGAACCCATCTGGAGACTTTAAAATAAGAGCAGTCATGGTATATGGAACCATTCCTAGCACAGGTAGAGAGAAAAAAAATTGGGTGGAAGAGGGCAGTTTATCTTTTTTTTTTCCTATAATTTCAGCAAGAGCATGTCCGCTGTATAAATGCAGGTATTTATATTGTATGTATTTAAAACAACAAAAAAACTAAAACCTAAGCAATAACTTAAAAGAACTGCAAGCCTATCTAACATTGTTCTCCTGGGTTTTAATAGACAAGCTTCTGATAGCTATTGATTCACATTCAAGTGATACTGAATTACAGAAAAAATTCTGTCAATCTCAAACATCCTTTCAATTCCTTAACATATTTCTCAATTCTATACCCAAGTCCTGAAGCCCACGAGTATGATCTACAAGCATAGCTATGATCAGTAGGTTACAAAATGTATGAATTGTTTCCATGGTAGTATGTCATTGCTAAGAACAAACATCTTGACAGAGACTCTTCATGGAGTTCTGTAGTTCACATAGTTAGAACACAATATACTAGCAGTCAAGGTCTTGTTTTACTCTATTGTTATGTCAGATATTTTATGCAAGAGATACAATATACTCACTTCACTCTGTGGATTCTGAATCACTTTGTAAAGAGATGAAATCAAAGCGCTCTTGTCTTTCAAGTTTGCAGCATAGCTGGATATGGATGCTTCTGGCAGTGTCTGAAATAAAAATGTAACTACTAGAAAAAGCAATTTTTATCATTAAAATACAACACTTATCCATGACAAGTTATTATTTATTAGAGTTTACTATAAGCTAAAACTTCTTTCACAAATAAATCCTTACTATGGAAATCATCATGTTTTCAGGATAATAAAATGGCCAGAAGACATGCTGCATTTTTTCATTTTGCAGACAGTTTCATACACAGTGTAATGACAGCAGATGGGAAATAGATAAAAACCCAAGAGTTTTCCACAGGTGTAATCCCAGTGAAATTTCACTGTGAGATTTCAGTAATGTGAAATTTAGCAGTTTACAGATTTGGACTTCGAGTAGTCTTCTCAAGACTTACTGCACACTGTGAACAATATCACAGGATGTAGTATTACCCAAAAAGAACATGAATTCCAGTTGGCACGAACGAACAGCTCATGTCTTACACTAAACATATTTCCTGCCAGTACTCGGCAAGGTAAAAATCTAAGCTTTTTAACAACCCTTTGGATGCTGTACATTTACGCTTCCTATTCATAGCTCTTACAGTACTTCTTATCTACAGTCCTCCAAAAGAGATCAGACTCCATTTTAGAGACAGGAAAACACACTCCCATTGCACCTTAGCAGACCAGAAACAGAACCTACAGTCTAGTCCATACTCGAAACAAGACCATTCATCTGTGATATACATTTTCACTGCTCTGTACCATAAAGTACGTAATCCCAAAGAAGACAAGGAGACAAATCCTTTCAAGTATACATTTGTATATATCACATTATCTTAGCAAAATCATAGGTTAGCATTTTTCTTCACTTTCTACAGATGTCAAGCACTCATGCATGCTGCTCCAGCAGCGATTCAAACACTAAAACATTCAACATTCAAACACTGGCTAAATATCTGAGAGTACGTTACCTTGAATTCTGATAACCACTCCTCCACAACCCCTGTATCCACAGCTAACATCTTCCAACATCTGTTCCAAAAGCTTCAACCCTGAAAGAATAAGCAAAGATAGCTTGTGAAAACTATATAACTACTGCATTAAACAGATGATAAAAAATTAAGCCCCTGTGAACATATAAATAATCTTATTTTAAAGAATCTATAAAGCATCTTTTACCTTTAATATTTCACATGCTGACGTTACTTTGAACTTTTATTCTACCTCACTTATGCAAGCTGCTGGAAGCATTAAGCATGGAAGTCTTCACATACAGCAGTTTAATATAAATTCCAAATATGCATTGTGTGGGAAGCTCAGTAAGTCAAGGACTTGCAGAAATGGCATTTTGAAAACAGAAAATACTACCTTCTCAATTTTGGTTTATTTTTTCAGCTTACAGAACTTGGGAGAAAACTGTATGGACTCACTGAAGAAAAATTACTGTTTGGGTTTTTCCCAGTCAGCTGCTGTTTGTAACTTGGAAAAGGTCACTGAACTAAAGTCTGATGGAAAACCTTTCAATCCTCCCCCACCATGACAACTGCAAGACAATGTGCCTGCCACCTCCTCTGTCCAACATCCCACAAAATCTCACACAGAGCAAGATGAGAAGTACTAATCTAATTTCTGATTTCTCTCAATTTTTGAGAAAACACTAAAAACAATTGTCCTTTAGAATGGGTTATTCTGAAACAAAGAGCAACAGACCACCAAGGCACACAACTACTAGAAGTTAAAAGAGCATGCTGTGGGCCATACCCCAGACACAGGTAAACTATTCAACAATACACATTAGCTTATTCAAATTGTGACCATGGGTTTCAAACTACAACAAAAACTCATCTGAGGAAAAAAAAATCAACTTGGTGAAATGTTCAGTCATGTGAGATATCCTATCAAGTTTTGCTTTCTCCATTTAAAATGTTTTTTAAGTACTCACAGCCAACTATGGGCCAGAGATTTTTGTCATCCCCCAACCCCCAGCCCACCCATACTATCATTAAGTGACCTGGTCAGGTGAAACCATGAAGAACCAGACAGGGCAATCTCCTCTTAAAATCAGATATGCAAGTCTGCACAAAGCATACAAGAACAGTTCTTTCTGAGGATCAAAGGGGAACAAGAAGGGGCTATGGAACTGTAAGCCACACAGGACCAGATTTCATTACTGGAGAAAACAGAAGTAGCTGTAAACATCTAGGTGGAACATTGCAGTGGCAGGTCCACTAATAGCCTTCTACTGACAGATTAAGGGTTGGGGCAGCTCCATGAGAAGGATACCAGTGACATCAGGGGAAGTAGATGAGAACCCACAACCAATGTGAGGAAACGACAGACCATCAGATTGGCAAAGAGTACAGAGCAATTTCAAACAAGAAAACCAGTGCTAACCAGGGCCCCACCTCAAATGCAAGCATATATGTAAGTGCTGCCTGCAGGACAGCTTGATGGGGCAATCACCAATACCTTTCCTAGCAAAGCATGACTGGGTGCGAAGTGCCCATACACCAACACACACACAGTGTGGTGACCCAGGAGGAGGAATTAGTGGTCTGTGTGCAGTTGCAGGGCTACAATCTCACTTGGATCACTGAGACACACACACTGATCACATGACCAGACTACAGCCATGGCTGGATATGAGCTCTTTAAGGATACTCTGGGATGGTGAGGAAGGAAAGCTGCCCTTTATTTAGGAAAGCAGTAGGGATGCATGGAGCTCTACTCTGCAATTAATGATGAAACAGCTGAGAGCTTATGGAGCACAAATGAGAGATCAGACCAAGCCAGGTACCATTGTGGCAGGTGTCTGCTACTCGTCACCTGATAAAGATGAAATATTTGCGATCCTATTCATATAGCTGAGGAAGCCTCACATTTACAGGTACCTGGTCCTCACATAGAACATAAACTACTCTGTTATCTCCTGGAAGGGAAACACAACAGGGCACAAGCAACCCAAGGTTCTTCCTGAAAGAGATTACTAAGGAGCCAAAAAGTTCAGGCACTTGGCTGAACATCAGAATTGCAAACACAGAAAAACTAGGCAGTGATATGGAAGTCCAGATACAACACCTGCAGACCATGACATAGTAAAGCACAGAATCCTAAGAGGAAGAAGGATCAAAGCAAGAAAAATTATCAAGAATGCTCAAGAATGGTTCACAGGCTTTTGCAAAAATAGCAGCAGCAGACTAGGGTTCCATGGCTGAATGGGGCAGAGGACCTGCTACAGGAGAGATGTAAGAGGCTGAGTTGCTTCCTGCTGCCTTTGGTTTTGTCATTAGCAGCAAGGGCAGCCCTCAGGAATCCCAGGTCTTTGAGAGCAGAAAATTGCCTGAATTGCCAGGCTGAAAGGGCTGTGATCTGTGGTACAAAGCCCAGCTGGAGACCCTATTGGTGCATGCCAGGGGACAGTATCTGGGCCAGGACAGTTTAACATCCTCATTAACAAAGATAGGTGGTTGGACAGAGCTCACCTTCCATATGTCTGCAAACAGCACAAACACACAAGAGCCTGGTACCCCAGAGAAACGTTGCCATTCCCAGGGACATAAACAGGCAGCTGATGTGAGCCAACACATGCATCTCAGGAAGCTTAACTCCAAGTCCTGTCCCTGGGGACAAATCACGTCAGGCATCAGCACACAAAAGCACCAAAGACGGCAGCCCTCAGATCACTAGCAGATCCTTTCCTGTGCACAGCCCTTGTGAGACACACTTGGAGCATTGGGCTCCCCAGTACAACAGACACATGAACACACTGGAGAGAGCTTGGGAAAGGGCCGCAAAGCTGATGGACTATGCTATATTTCTTCTTTGTAGCTAGAACAGTGATTTGGATTCAGTATGAGATTTGTTATGAGAAGAATGTTGATAATATACTGATGGTTTTAGTAGCCCACTAAGAAATCAAAGACTTTTCAATTCCCCATGCTTTACTAAGTCTGCAGGTACACAATTAGCTGGGAGGGAGAATAGCCAGGACAGCTGACCCAAAATGACCAAAGGGATATTCCACACCTTATAATGTCATGCTCAGTGTGTGAAGCTGAAGGAAGAAGGAAGGGAGTGATGCCTTTTGTCTTGCCAAGTAACCATTACACATGATGGAGCCCTTTTGTCCTGGAGATGGCTGAACTCCTGCCTGCCAAGGGGAAATAGTGAATTAATTGCTTGTTTTGTTTTGCCTGTATACACACCTTTTGCTTTAGCTATTAAACTGTCCTTATCTCAAACCACAAGTTTTCTCACTTTTACCCTTCCAATTCTCTCCCCCATCCCACCAGGGGAAAGCGAATGAGCAGCTGTGTGGTCCTAGTTGCCAGCTGGAGTTAAACAAGGGTTTAAATGTCATTTCATGTAAGGGTTATTGAACACTGCAACAAGTTGCCCAGAGTGGCTGAGAAGTCTCCATCCTTGGAGTTATTAAAAACTCAGTTCAATAAAATCCTGGACAATCTGTTCCAATTTTCACTAGTTCAAGTAAAGGAGGCTGGACTTGATCTCCAGATATCCATTCAAACCTCATCTATTCTGTCCTCCTGTATCAACAAGGAAATAAGAAGGACTGTCATAAATGGAACTCATCTAATACCAACTCTTTCTGAGAGCACTGAAGGTATAATGATGACAATATGGATTGGGGGCCTCTGAATGGTATAGGTTGTGTTTCAAATCCTGCCATGCAGTGAGGTTTTTAAGGATAATACTGTGTGATAACAAACACAAAGGCTAGTTCAACTACAATTACTGAAGAATGACCACATCAGTTTCTACAGAATCACAGGATCTACTAGCCCTACTTTCATTCCTGTGAAGGTGGACAAAGGCTTTTGAGATGTCTCCTGCTTTAGCAGTGTTGACAAGAGCAGCCATTCCCTACTGAGCCCCATTAATATCATAAATGCCTGTGGTAATATTGACTGTTCAAAGCAAGAAATCTATCATTTTCAAGTGTCCAGAAGAGTCTTGGATACTCCTGTGCACAGCTGACACCACATTTACTGAAGAGACTCTTTTTCACCTATTTCTACTGATCCATCTACCATTGTTTTCAGATGAAAGGCTTCATTTCATTCACAGGATTCATTTGACCAGTAAAAATAAGAGCATCCTTAGCTGACACCAGCCATTGGACTAAAGAAATACTTCAAGATTTTATGACTGTGTATTTGAAGGCAAAACCATAATTTTTTAAAATGAAAACTGTAAAAAGCTGAACTAAAAGAAACAGGACAAAGTCTCTGTGATAGGGTCTTTGGTATTTTAACATTACTTCACACTTGCCACATGATGAAAGCATGCATAGCTACTGTGTGTTTATGCCTTATGAATTAAAAGCACTTTGCAGTATTTTCCATAAGACTATCAACTTGGGTTGGCAGCAAGAAATATGATTAATGCTTAACAATAATTATCAAACTAGCTTTCCTTGTAGAACATCTATTTAAAGCAAACATACATAAAGCCAAAGAGCCCTTACTAATCTCTTAACATTGGCACCTCAGGACATATGTGAGTTGAGCTCTAATATCAACAACAGTAAGTCTAACCTAAATGATTCCACTCACAGTCTGCAATCCATTTTGATACAGCTTGAGGCAAGACTGCTCTCTGGATCTTCTTCCAAGTAATAAGCAGCCTCTGAGAGCTGTAACTTGATCTTGCTCTATTCTAATACCTTAATAAAACTCTCCTTACATCAGAGATACAAATTTCTGCACTGTTTCAAGGTAAGTAGTACAACTAGAGTAAAATACCAAGCAACTTTGACAAAAGGGAGTCTTGTTTGGAAGACACTTCTACAAAATCTCTACAAAGACCATTCCTTTTTCTACTACAGTATAAATACAGCAGAAACTTACTGCGTTTAATAGAGGGGGGAGAAAATGTTGCTATGCACTGAACTGATGACAAACAAGCCAAGGTTAATTAAGATGCATACTCTGGCAAACTTACCAAGTTAATCTACTTAGACAGCTTCAGGTTTTCATACCTGTCACTCAAGACTTTTTAAATACAACAATATCAAATCATAGCCTTGAAAAA